TTGCCTTCCCTCTAGTCTTACACTGCTAAATTAGGGACGGCTAGCGCAGATAGCCCTTGTGTAGCTTTGCGCGAAATTCAAAAACAAACAAACCCTCTTCGTTATTACAAAAAAGCCGTTTTCACATTTTTTTGCATCATTGTAATACAGTTTGTACGTTTATTTTGATTGTTACATATTATATATATATATAAGCCTTTTTTGAAGCATCTTTAGCAGTCGCTAAATTTCTTTCATTTCAATTACAAGCTTCTCTTTTCTTCCGCTAGTCTACAATATAATGAGTTAACTTTAGTTTTTACATTAGAAATGTTTTGTACAACAGGGCAAATAGGTGGAGAAGGTGAAAACCAGGAGGATAAAAATGAGGCTGAGCAGGCGGAACAAGAACGCCTAGATGCACTACGAGAAGCTGAGGAGAGGAGGAAGGAGAAACACAGAAAAATGGAAGAAGAAAGAGAAAAAATGAGACAGGAAATAAGAGATAAGGTGTGTTTATACATTTTTAAAATTACATTTACATCAACTTTAGGGTGCATCTTAGACCCCCATAACTAATCAATATTAACTTTCTAGGCTTACAAAAACTAACTAATATTAACATCCTAGGCCTCTCGAAAAGTAACCATCTTAATATTTTAGAACTCAAAACTAACCAATATTAATATCTTAGGCCCCTCGAAAACTAACCATATTAATATTTTAGGCCACAAAACTAAGCAATATTAACATCCTAAGCCCCTCGAAAACTAACCATATTAATATTTTAGGCCCCAATATTAACTTTCGAGGCCTACAAAAACAATTCAATGCTAACATCCTAGGCCTCTCGAAAACTAACCATAATTAAGAGCTTAAACCCATAAAAACTTATCAATATCAACATGCTACACCCTGGAAAACTAATCAGTATAACATCCTAAGCCTCTCGAAAACTAACAAAAAATCAGTATTTTAGGCCTGGAAACTAACTATTGTTAATAAAGGCGGATTAATTCAAACATATTCAATTTTGTCATTAAAATAACTAAAATAGCATCAACTGAATCAAATCGAAATTTAACGAATAAAAAGCCTGTTATTGTTATTTTCATCACTACGTTTGACTACCTGAAAGTTTGGCACATCAAAACTATTAAGAGATTCCTTATAAGTTAGCATGGATGTTAGCTAATGTTGTTTCTTTCGAAATTTCTTGCATTGCCTCTCTATATTAAGGCTAACATTTATGTCTGACGAAAGAACCTTATGTTTGTGTGTGTGTGTAGCGAAATGAACTTATTTCTGAAGAGACAAGAGAACGTTAGGTACTTGATACCAGCTTTTTCGTAGTGACGTTACGATACATGTTAAGCAGTTGAGATATAAACTGTATTCATGTTCTTACTGTTTACAAGATAAAAGCAGCTATCATCAGAATGAAGACCATGTTTTTTGGCGAGATGATCGTGGTTATACAGCTGTTATTTGATGTAGATTGACCAAGACGAAACGAGCTACCAATGATAGGCTGCTGAATCTATAACAACTAGTGGGATGTTTGTCATTTGGAAGCACCACTGGATCGGATTATTTTACATCTGTCACTTTGCTAATGACATTTGTGATGTCTGTTGTTTGGTAAAGTTTCTGGTCAATGTTCTCATTGTCCTACCATTCAGCGATAAGTTCCAATAATTTCAATGGCACGATTTTTGGTAATTGTGCTAGAAATTCTGCATCGTGTCATTTGGCAGGTGATCTAAATCGTTTTTCTGTCAATGAATGCCCCCCCCCCCAAATAAACTGGTACTGCTCTAAGTCTAAAGCCATGAAACGCTAAAACCGAGTTTCGACGTTCGATATTAGAGGTGGAGACAGCACAAATTGCTCATTGTGGTGATTTGTGTTTAACAACAAACTAACAAAGTGTCACTGAGGAAAAGCTTCAAATCTTTTGGTTAAGAAGGTACTTAAATCATATCATTAACAAGGAACTGAACAGTATGCTTAAATCTTGATCACTGAGCGATATGAAGACGTTTTGTCAGTTACAAAGGTTTCTAAATCCTTTTCTTAAATAGCATGCCTAAGTCCTGTCAGTGTACCAGATCTCAGAATGCTTCATTGATCTGGAGGTCTAAATCTCTGAGTGAGACTTTCTGTTACTGGTAGTTATGTCATCGGATAGGACGAGGGATGAACCAATGAGACTTTCTGTTACTGGTAGTTATGTCATCGGATAGTACGAGTGGTGATCCAATGACACTTTATGTTACTGGTAGTTATGTCATCGGATAGGACGAGTGATGAACCAATGAGACTTTCTGTTACTGGTAGTTATGTCATCGGATAGTACGAGTGATGATCCAATGACACTTTATGTTACTGGTAGTTATGTCATCGGATAGGACGAGTTATGAACCAATGAGACTTTCTGTTACTGGTAGTTATGTCATCGGATGGGAAGAGTGAGGATCCAATGAGACTTTTTGTTACTGATAGTAATGTCATTGGATGGGAAAAGTGATGATCCAATGAGACTTTCTGTCACTGATAGTTACGTCATCGGATAGGACGAGTAATGATCCGCGTTTGTAATTAGATCTCAAATCGGTCAAGAGATGGAGCTATGAGCTAAAAGTTTGAACTTGAAAAAAAAGTTCTATGAGCCGATATGCCGCGGCTAAAAACTCTTCACTTTAAACTTGAGTTTTATATATTTTAACAGTTTCAAACTTTCATGCGAGGTTTTGAAAAAAATAACAACATTACGTAGCTTATTATTCTGAAAAGAAATGCCCCCATTAGGTTTACCAATATACTTAAGAACTTATAAAGGTAAATGTCGGGGTTCGATCGATGCAGAGGACACAGCTCAGATATGCCACAGGGATGGCCCTTGCGGGGATAACAAAATAACCACTTATTCTTTCCCTACAATGTAACCCTAGAACAGTCTCTGATAGCCCCTCCCCCCAGTGGCTCAGCGGTAAGTCTGAAGTCTCACATCGCTAAAAATCTGGTTTCGATACTCGTGATAGGCACAGTAGAGATGGCTCATTGTGTATCTGTGTGTTTAACAAGCAAACAAACTGTCTTGATAGTCCATTTTGCAGCTTTGTGTTTAACAAGCAAACAAACTGTCGTGATAGTCCATTGTGCAGCTTTGTGTTTAACAAGCAAACAAACTGTCGTGATAGTCCATTGTGCAGCTTTGTGTTTAACAAGCAAACAAACTGTCCTGATAGTCCATTGTGCAGCTTTGCGGTGAAACTAGAACAAAGAAACAAACACAAATTTGCACAAGAATGATGTTTAAAAAATGACATAGGAAATGAAAATATTAAATCCACTAAAACTAATAATAATTAAGTCTAAGAGGGTCCTCATGTTTCATTCATATCCATTTAATAGTAATACAAGTCTCAAAAAGTCCTCGTGTTTCATTCATATCCATTTGATAGTATTATAAGTCTCAAAAAGTCCTCATGTTTCATTCATATCCGTTTGATAGTAATATAAGTCTCAAAAAGTCCTCATGTTTCATTCATATCCATTTGATAGTATTATAAGTCTCAAAAAGTCCTCATGTTTCATTCATATCCGTTTGATAGTATTATAAGTCTCAAAAAGTCCTCATGTTTCATTCATATCCGTTTGATAGTAATATAAGTCTCAGAGGGTCTCATATTTCATTCATATCCACTTCATAGCATTATAAGTCTCAGAGGGTCCTCTTTATTAGTAATTAATAACAATACAATTTATTAGTACCTAATTAATAATTAATCATAGGTGATCGTGTAGGGCTACAGGCTATTAATTAACTACAGTAACGAATGGTATCCGCTCGCCACAACCTTACTGTAAATATTAACTTGACGTCCTCGTTAGACTTGGTTTTGTTGTAATCCAAGTCAAATTCGTAATATATAAGTGTATATATGAGTTGTTGTCGATTCAAAGACTTGATCTCAGTATTAAGCTTGTGTAACTTTACTTGATTCAGTATGGGATTAAGAAGAAAGAAGAGAAAGAGGCAGAGATGAACCAGGCTATAGCAGAAGGTAGTCTCAACCGTAGAAAGAAAACCCCAGCTGAGATCGCTGCAGAGCAGGAAGCTGAAGAACAGGATGACTTCACTAGTAAGTCCTGCGAATATAATAAGTTTCTTCTTTCCAAATTATTATTACTGATAATAATTAGTGGGACATGCTTTTTTTTTTGACAGAATGATTTAAAACCCGCCTTAAAATTGAGTTTCTCTGTAGCTAGACTTGAATTTAGAATTCTTATTAATTCCATGTTTTAACTAGAATCAAAAGTTTGAGTTTTATCATACTGACACTTAAAATACAAAGTATTAACACAATTAATGAATTTTAAAATAAACGTCATACTAACTAACGTGTTTCTAAACGTAATTCCTAAACCTACCCTATCACTTGATATCTACACCACACACCGTCGCTTCGTCTCTCAAACTCCATTGGTGATTCATTGACAAACTAATGTCTCCAGAAAGTAATCTTTGTGGAGAATTTGTCGTATCTTTAATGAATAACGACTACAGTAGCTTCAAAATTCAGGTGGACGTAAATCTTGATAGAAATCTTTATGTCAAGTAAACATAAATGTTGTTCGTTTTTCTCCTGAAAAACACTTGAAAACTGTATAGAAATTACAAGTCAAACAGCAAACCCTGATTCCTGAGTTCCCTATTGTGTTATTAGCTTCTCCTGAAAAACACTTGTAAACTGTATAGAAATTACAAGTCAAACAGCAAACCCTGATTCCTGAGTTCCCTATTGTGTTATTAGCTTCTCCTGAAAACACTTGAAAACTGTATAGAAATTACAAGTCAAACAGCAAACCCTGATTCCTGAGTTCCCTATTGTGTTATTAGCTTCTCCTGAAAAACACTTGCAAATTGTATAGAAATTATAAGTCAAACCCTGATTCCTGAGTTCTCTATTGTGTTATGGTTTCAAACATGCTCATCATGTAAAACAAGACACTTGTAAACTGTGTAGACATAGCTTACAGACTACTTGTTTTTACATGATACAAATATTTGAAACCATAACACAATAGGGACTCAGGAATAAGGTTTCGCTGATTGACTTGTACCGAGGGCGGTACAAGTCAATCAGCGAAACCTTATTCCTGAGTCCCTAGTGTGTTATGGTTTCAAATATTTTCATCATGTAAAACAAGACACTTGTAAACTGTGTAGACGGTACAAGTCAATCAGCGAAACCTTATTCCTGAGTCCCTATTGTGTTATGGTTTCAAACATTTTCATCATGTAAAAACAAGTCGCCTGTAAACTGTGTAGACGGTACAAGTCAATCAGCGAACCGTGATTCCTGAGTCCCTATTGTGTTATGGTTTCAAACATTTTTCATCATGTAAAAACAAGTCGCCTGTAAACTGTGTAGACGGTAAAAGTCAATCAGGTTTCTGAATTCCCTGTTGTTTTATGGTTTCAAACATTTCCATTATGTTAACAATAACTGAAATTCGTATATTTATAAAGTTCATTGCTTGTGTAGAAGATGTATATCTGTCACTATGGCCTGTCTGAGATGATTCGCTATTGGTTTATGAAGCAGTCTTGACCTTGAACCTATTCCTGGGCACACAGAAAATCATGTTTTGGCCACATTTTAAAGAGTCGAGTTTTCATTAATTGATAGTCGTTCTCGTCTACTCTTTTGAAACAAAAATGTTTGAACTTTTTGAAATGCTTATTTCACTCATAAGCTGTTGGGCAATTTTCTCATTTTGTATAATAAAAAACAACATCGAAATAACTTACGAACTTTAAAACCATTTTTGAATGGCCCTAGACTATACGCTTGCACGTGACTAGTATTGTTAACACCGAATAAATAGCGTTAATTAGTTAGAACAAGGCCAGGCGTGTTCTGCTAGTGAGAGTGTTGGGCTGCGGATCGAAGTGTCCGGGGTTCGGAATGTTATGTATCTTAACAAGCTTCGCATTTTAAGCTTTGGTGCGTTATAAGAGTGACAGTCAACCCTATTATTTCTTTTAAAGAGTCGGACAAAGCACTTGTAGAGGCGGATGCTGATAGCTGGCGACCGTCCTCCTGATCAGTAATTGAAAAATTCATGAATAATATACCTGAATCTTAAGGTTTCCAGACCAGACTGTTTAGTCCACGTGCTATACTGGCGTTCAGATTTAACGTTCCAAATCATTAATTAGAACACGTATCTATTCACCAAGATCTGGGTATGGCTCTATCTAACACTAGTTTAACCAGTACTGGTCTAGTTAATGCTTGTCTAGCCAATAAACATCCAGTTAATGCTTTTCTAGCCAATACTCGTCTAGCTAATGCTTGTCTAGCCAATACTCGTCTAGCTAATGCTTGTCTAGCCAATACTCGTCTAGCTAATGCTTGTCTAGCCAATACTCGTCTAGCTAATGCTTGTCTGCCCTGTACTCGTCTAGCTAATGCTTGTATAGCCAAATACCCGTCTACTTAATGCTTGCTTAGCCTTCTAGTTATTGCTTGTCTAGCCAGTCAGATGGTCCACAGTAGAAGTCTAGTGACATATTATAACAGTTGTTACAGCGAGTTATGATAACGTCTGAATCTAAATATTTATAAAAATCTTAAATATTATTCACTCCCTTATATTTTACCTAATATTATAATTTAATTATTTTGGGATTTGTATCTCTACAACATTATTGTGGCATAAATGTTATGACAAAACAAAAGTAGTGTAAGATTCGTGTTTTTTGTAGTGTATTCCTCTCCAGTATAAACAGTTGTTCAAAATTACCATTAAAATCAGAGTGGTATTTCATCATGGTTTCCCAGGTTCTCTTTGTAACAAAACCAAAACCTTCTTATTTTTCAGAGCTGAAGAACACATTGGAGACGCAAGTAAACGAACTCAAGACCACCATTGAAGGAAAATGTGTGCTACAGTGAGGGGGCGCCACGAGCTATGCAATGTCCGATTGTTCTGTTGATGCCTGTAGTGTTGCATGCAAATCAACCATCTTAGCTCCTGCCTTCTCTCAATGTAAGCCTTCTGGCGCTTGGAGGAACCAGCTACTGTACCCGTTCAATACTCCAGTCCCCAGATCGAAATTTCCGCTTAGTCAGCAGTATTTCACTAATCGAGTTTTTGGTTATCCATTTTACAGAATTAAGTCCACTTAGGAACAAGATATTGTACGTAGTTTGGCAAGGTGCCCAGAAATCGTTAGGCTTAAGCACAGAGAAACTGCGGATTTCATCATTTATGCCCTAATCTCTCGGACTATTTGATTGAATCTTATGTGGTTGTTTTAGCATTTTTTTTCTTTTTACAAAATGTGAATACGTTCATTTATCAATACAATAATCACACGCTATTTGTGAGTTTATTTGTTTTTTGCTAAGTGTTTTACATTACCGTATGTGATCTTTAACCAACATAAATCTTAAGCTAGTAGTTTAAAAAGTAGCTTAAGCCTATCAATTTCTGAGAAATTCAAAAAAAAAAAAACATTAGTGGCTAGCTTCTTCAAGCGCCATCTGGTGGCCATAAATGATCAGCAAACCTTCTCCGAGTGGATGCTCGTTAGGAGGGTTACCCAAACAACGAATTTTTCTAGTGTTAATCTAAGAACTGTGAGCACTTTCATCACTTAACTGTAGAGAAACTAGTGGAACTCTTGTTAAACAGCGGACTTTTCAGGAATTATTACAAGGCTCTCCCGCCATCTGGTGCCAAGTTCAAGAAACGAGCACATTTGTGCTTCACTCAGCAATAGGACAAAACGATGACGTCATTACACATTTAGCAAACGAAAATGATGCGTGGAAGAAGTAAAAGGGTTTTTGCATAATTGTTTATAAATCAGTTTTTTCTTATCGTGTTTCCTCCATATGATATTGCGTTGTTTCGATTGATATAGGGTATTTCAGTAAATATTAAGCTTTTAAAATAGCGAAATAACCATAGCCGTTTATACGTTACTTTCGCTCTGCGTTTTGAATTCTAAAACAAAACTGAGAGAAATAATGATTTATTAGTTTTACATAGCATATCAAAAACAGTGAAAGATTTGAGTAGTTTCGAAATCAGGGGGGAGGGGGGCCTTAAGCTAGCTTCATCACTTGGTTAATCAGAACTGTAACAGAAAAAAAATAACTTGCACTCCCCATTATTTATCAGAGTAAAATGTGACAAAGCAGTCTATGCATCAACAGAGTTTGTTTTTGCATATTTAACTAAATCTTTGTGGTGTGAAAGCCTTTTTAAAGCTGGCGAAGTAAGACTATAATTAATTATAATTGCCATAAGACACTAGTATTAGGCTTGAAAAAGGCGTTCGCACTATATCAATAGTTATGGTAACAAATGGCTTATATAAGTAGTGTTTCGACCACTTTTATATTTGTTGTATCACAGCCTGAAGAGCTTTGGATTGAGCGAAACGTGTCGTCCACAACGGACATAGCGAATATAGTGTGGTTGGAACACTCTTCTAATTCTTGAAAATCCCTTAGGGACTAGATAATTTGTTGTATCCCAGCCTGAAGAGCTTTGGATTGAGCGAAACGTGTCGTCCACAACGGACATAGCGAATATAGTGTGGTTGGAACACTCTTCTAATTCTTGAAAATCCCTTAGGGACTAGATAAAAAGTATGTTGTTTAAAAATGTAGTAGGCCTGATACTAATGTCTTATGACAAGTATAGTCAACCTAAATCTTCATAATTAATAATCTACACATAAACAACCACAAATGTTCGTTCGTTAGTACTTATATCTCAGAATAAAAAGTAAATAATCATCACCTGGCTCTATCACAATAGAATACGATTTGAAAATTAGTGAAAACAGAACTGATTTTAAACATGTTAAAAGCTCAGAAGTCATTACTTGGTAAACTGGCAATTAACACTGTGCTAATATTTAACAGTGTGCTAATACCTTTATTTTTAATCATTTTTATTTCATTCTATAATCCTTATTTTCATGGTTTCTAATTTGTTCAACGTCTGTGTTTTATCTATTTCTATTCCGAATCCTTCTCTGTCCACTCACTCTTGAATAGTTACTGATCATTAGTGGAATACAGATCCTTTTCATGATTTTTAAGTCGGCATTGTTGTAAGTATTATTACAGATTTCAAGGTGTGTTATTTAATATGGTTGTAGAGGTTGTTTCGTGTTTCATTTAGTTAGTGTACAAATCCTGATTGATAGGAAAACGCTTTTAAGTGATATGTACCTAAGATTGTCAAAAGGGGGCGCTATATGGCGTATTGCTGTTGTTGTGTAGTTATACGTTCCTAATATTAGAAATCATGGCTCCGAAACTTAATTCTAAGTTCACACACAAAAAAGAACAATAAATACCTATACTTTCTCGTTTAACTTACGAATTACAGATAATGTAAGCGATACATTTTTCTTTTTAGGTGTAACATACCGAAACTAATACATAAACTTGTGATCTGTATTTATGTAATCTTAAACCCAGGGCGATTAGTCCGCTGGAAATTAGCATTCAAAACAGCAAGAGTTGTGCATTATGTGTTTCTGTTATAGTGAAATTTAAAACAAAAAAAAATCTCATGAAAGGGATTTAGATTTCTTTTCCTCCCTAGTCTATGTTTTTGTTGTTTCGTGTTTTTTTATACTAAATACGTAAGGAATCAAAATCTCATTATGTTTTACACTGGAAAAATTATTTCAATCGAAAACGTTCCTGTTATTTTTAAAAGATTGTTGTAATAATTTTGTTTATGACACTAGTTTAAAATGAGAAAATGTTTTTTTATTACAGAAATGTGATTATTTGAAAACCCCTGATATTATGAGGTTTCAGTTTCGTTTTCTCGTCATGATCTTGTATCTAACATTATTTAGTAATTGGACATGCCTAAAATTTTCGATTGTTACTTGCTGCTACCGTTGTTTATTAAATACTGCTGTCGTTTTTCTAGTTGAATCGTTCACTTGCTATTGGTATAAGTTTGTTAACAGTTTCTTTTTTAAAATGTTTCTTAAATCCAAGTACGTGGGCGAAATCTTAGAATACACACTGGAGCTTGTGGTAATGTTTCTACAATTCGGTTTGACCCAAGACTGTTAGTTTGCAGGTTTTAAATTCACGACATTTACCGTATATTTGGGAGATATTCACAGAGGAATGGTTTCGGGCCATCATTTTGACCAAAAAATATTCAACTGTTTTCAAAAATATCAACTCGAACGTCGACTATATGTCATGAGCAAGTCAACTTTATGTGGGAGGCTCCTTCAGTAATGCCTGATTCAGATCATCGAACTGACTTTTGGTATTTTCTTAGATCTGCAGGTCGTTTCGGCCAACGTAGCGGATAGGCGCTGTCTGTAGTATGTAGCTCACTTAAGATGTTCATGATGTATGTCAGATTTATCGTAAAAATCGCTTGTGTAGGGGGGTATGTTCGGTTTCCTCAATACATCGGCTTGCTGTTTGATCTTACATTATTGAACAGCCGTATTTTCCCCCTTCACTATCTTTCTCTAGGTATATATATATACACACCCATATGTGTGTGTGTATATATATATATATATATATGTAGTTATACATACACATTTGTAGCCACAAATATAATCGGATATTGTATATTTGAAATATAGTGAAACAAGTTAATTTATAGTAGTCTTAGCAGAGGTTATGTAGCTATTGTAATTATGGCTTTCTTGTTCTCATCGATTTGATGAATACCAGTTGCGAGGAACGTTTCCACTTTTAACCACAGTGGACGTTTCTAGCCTTCAGAGCTGGGTCTGTCGACCACCATTGTTTGCAATAATTAACCAGAGTGGACGTTTCTAGCTTTCAAAGCTAGGTTTGTCACCCACCATTATTTGCAACAATTAACCACAGTGGACATTTCTAGCCTTCATAGCTGAGTCTGTCAACCACCATTGTTTGCAACAATTAGCCACAGTGGACGTTTCTAGCTTTCAAAGCTAGGTTTGTCACCCACCATTATTTGCAACAATTAACCACAGTGGACATTTCTAGCCTTCATAGCTGAGTCTGTCAACCACCATTGTTTGCAACAATTAGCCACAGTGGACGTTTCTAGCCTTCGTAGCTGAGTCTGTCAACCACCGTTGTTTACAACAATTAGATTGTCTAATGTATCTCCATTCGATTCGGGATCTTTACAACGAACTATAGAAGTTTGTCGTGTGTGTGTGTGTATTGTATTAGGTGAGTGTCTGTATACATTTCTAGCAAATCTGTTCATACATATGTAATGGAACGCCCTCTTTTATTCCGATTTCTCAATAAAAACATCTTGAAATCGCTTGTTCGCTATGTTCTTTAAAGTAAACAACCTTGTATATCACGCTTACATAAATATAACTCATAAAAAATTCGGCTACTCAAAAGTAATAATAATAAACTCGGCTATGAGCCCGTAGTTTTGTTGGTGATAAATTACGGAATTTGTCAACCCATTTCTATATTAATCAACAGTTAAAAATTCACGAAGTTCTTCCGTATAAAACAACCACATGCAAGTTTTATTCACTAAGTACGGAACACCATTATGAGCTCATCACACAAGGAGTACGACTCCATAACTATTTAATTTGTTTGTACATAAATGCCCTTTCTTTCCTAACCTAACTATAGTGCTTTTTGTTGTTGTTGTTGATAACTTCACAGTGTTTCGTATTGCAAAAAATTAATAATGATAATGGTGGAGCATTTTAACAGCCCTAGATTACAAGGATAATGTCTTCTTTTTATTTCGAAATAGTGTAACTGAATAAATTAGTGGCGATTAACCTAGTTTACTTTAATAAATTAGTGGCGATTAACCTAGTTTACTTTAATAAATTAGTGGCGATTAACCTAGTTTACTTTAATAAATTAGTGGCGATTAACCTAGTTTACTTTAATAAATTAGTGGCGATTAACCTAGTTTACTTTGATAAATTAGTGGCGATTAACCTAGTTTGCTTTGATAAATTAGTGGCGATTAACCTAGTTTACTTTAATAAACTAGTGGCGATTAACCTAGTTTACTTTAATAAATTAGTGGCGATTAACCTAGTTTACTTTGATAAATTAGTGGCGATTAACCTAGTTTACTTTGATAAATTAGTGGCGATTAACCTAGTTTACTTTAATAAATTAGTGGCGATTTACCTAGTTTACTTTGAACCAATTTGTGCTTAAAGGAGAGACCAATCCTTTTTTTTTCTTTGTTGTTAAGCGCAAAGCTATTTAATTATTGGTGCATATTTATTAGTAATGTGCAAGAAATTTTGCATTGTAATTATATTTACTTATTTATTACTTCAGATCTCACGCAAATAACCTAGGTTCGTGTAGCTGCACGAACTCTTCGTCGAATGGAAAAGATCAAATACATTCATATGTATAATAATATAACGGGATTCAAACCCTGATTACAAAAGCAGAGACTTTCGTTCCCCGAATAGGCTGAGATCACATATGATAATATATATATATTTTTTAATTTATAAAGTTTATAAGTAAAAAACTTTTCCATGTTTTGTTAAAACAGGAAAACATTTGTGAATTCGGATTCTAAAAAGTCGGTAGAACATATCATTTCATTTCTATGGACTTATATTGTAATGCTTAAGTTCTGTCGAAAGAATATTAGATAATGAAGCAATGACTTAAATGTACTAGTTAGGTAAGTAAAATATATTGAATACAACAATACATCAGATAGCAACAAACACTGTATAACATCAGACAACAATGCATCAGATAGCAACAAACACTGTATAACATCAGACAACAATACATCAGATAGCAACAAACACTGTATAACATCAGGACGCAAAGAACTCGGCAAATACTGTATATATATATATATATATAACTTCTCCCTCCCTCTACCTTCTCCAGTCATATTTGTTTCTCAAGTGCTTCAATGATAAGTTAACGTAATGAAAAATAAATTATTTTCTCTCCAGTAAGTAAGCCTAAAAAGTTAAATCATAAAGAAGTTATCATTGTTGTTGTTTTTTCTAATTAGCACTTCATTGTTGAACATATTACACTTTAACTTGCATTTAAATATCTCAAAATGTTAAGCCTTTGCTAAAATTGTTTTGTTGTTTTGCACTACAATGTCTTGAAGTAAGTCTGTATTGTTGACTTCCACTATACTTCTAAAAAAAATGTTAAATGTCATTGTTGACTTGCCCTACTATAACTAAAATCCAAATCATTTTGTTGGCTCGTACAGAAATATAAAACTTCATTGTTGACTTGCATTACAAAGTCTAAATGAAATATTTTATTGTTAACTTCGCTACAATGCCTAAAATTAAAGCTTGTTTGTTGAAGAGCATAGCAATATCTAAAAAGATAAAGGTTTATTGTCAAGTCACAATACAATATTTAATAGTAAATCTGTATTGTTGACTTGCCCCACGGTCTATAAAATATAAAACTATTGTTGACCCGAACTACAATATTTTAAAAAGCAAACTTTATTGTTGACTTGCATTACGATGTTTAAAAGTAAAATCTTATTGCTGTCTTTCTCTACAATATGTAAAATGTTGTTAGTTACTTGCACTATAGTGTAAAAAAAAATCTAAACTTTATTACGGAACAATTAATAAAATTTGAGACCAAATTTATTTTTGAGTTACACTTCAACGGTTAAAACATATAAGACCAGAATTTGACATTCAGTTTGTTGATTTGCATTGCTGTTTAAAATATCTTGATATTTTTATGCTGCAGATAACGTTGGATTTCACATCCAACCAGCTAGAAAATGTTAAATAATGGCGTATGTAGTTCTAAAATTAAACAATCAATTAAATAGAAGTACTTACTTCTTGTACAGTGTATTTGAGCTTTTCTACTTACGTCTAATTACAATTCTGTGGCACTATGCTAGAATTCGTGTAGTTACAGTTCATTAAAACTCTACTGGTTACACCAGTACAACGTTTTGGAACTTTCTGTTTACACGTAAATACAGTTCATCAAAAATCGACTGGTTATTCCTGTTTACAACTCTTTGTAATTTTCATTAAAACTGTACTGGTTATACCTGTACAACGTTTTGGAAACTTTCATTAAAAATCTACTGGTTATTCCTGTTTACAACTCTTTGTAATTTTCATTAAAACTGTACTGGTTATACCTGTACAACGTTTTGGAAACTTTCATTAAAAATCTACTGGCTACTCCTGTTTACAACTCTTTGTAGCACTTTTGGTTTTCATATGTTTAGAGTTCGTTAGTAGCATGATTAGTGTACCTAGATGGTTAACCTTAATAGTTAAAGTTCATTAGAAGCGCACTGGTAACATCTGGCTAATCAGGAAACGAGAATATTATGACTACAACTAAATGATAAGAAACTGGTTATAATAACACTTTACCGATTGCTTTAGAGTTACATGTTTTAAACAAAACAAACATTATGTTTAGAAACAGTAATTAATTCCTCCTGATTTTGAGATTCACCCCAGTTTTTGCACCATCTCCCTTTATAAACACTCAGTTTAGTTTTTCCTAAATCGTGTTGCTTTAATCTAATTTAACTGGAAAAATTATTGATTTAAATTTACTGTAGATCTTATATCAAACAGATGTTCTACTCCCTATCCCCCTCTTCCTCTGTTTCAGCTGAAGAGCTGATAGATTTTCATAGTGAAGCTTTGCAACTATATGAAGTTTATAGTGAACTGTTAAGCCTTATAGTCCCCCGAGTGTTTACTTAATGTTTATATTATACACTGTTATTCTAGTTTTTATAATTTCTCTTCGAACGATATTTAAGGGGGATAATTTAAATTCTAAGTTTTTTTTGTTTTGTTTTTTTTGCTCATCTACTTATTCCACATGTCCAAAAATCCCTTTGCTTTATATAATTTAAGGTACATGAGGCATTCATTAAAATAAGTATTTGACTGTAAAAACAACAAGCAATAGGTATGCGTATGCCTGCAGTAAATATATATGCAGTAAAATTATACCTTGTTAGGTATACTCAACACAATCTTACACTTGCCTGTTAAGCCTATTTTCGAGTCTATGCCTCGTTTATTCTTTATTTTTAATCCGCAGATGGGACAGAGCGCATCGTGTACCTTAACCAGTAGAAAGTTTAAATATTTACCATTTTATCATATCTCGTTCTCATCAGCTTTGTATTACACTTGCTTCTATTAGTATCGTTATATATGTACGTTTTTGGATCACTTGACAGTACGGTGTGCGCATGCTCGTCGAAACTGGTTCATTTTGTTGATGTTTTGTTGTCGAAACCCAATAACTAAAACTATTATTAAGATTAGCACTTTAGGTCCGAAGATTTACTATGTCATTCTGGTTCAGTGATCGTTGTTTCGTTTTGTGAGTGGTGTCTCCACATTTAATTTGTGATTATTTTTGTACGTACTTACAAAATACTAAACTCTTCACTCCTCTGGTGATGAAATACACCATGGATGTAAAATTTCCGAAATGTCGAATGGAAACAATTTCGGAGTATTCTAAGATTCGTCGTCTTGTTTTCGATATGAAACATTACAGCATTATGTCTTTGCCGATCTGAAAAATAAAATTATATATATATGTGTGTGTGTTAGAGAGAGATTTTGTATATAGTTAGCGTGTGACACGCTGTAGTGGTGTTTCCCGCGGAAACATGTACCTGAAGGCATATATATAGATATCAACATTTATGCTTATGTATATATGTATGTACTTATATATATATATATATATATATATATATATATAC